TGTTGGTTGGTGATCGGAAACTCATCCACCTCGCAAATAATCTCACTGACACCAGGCTTCCTGAGGCCACTGGACCGAATGAGTTGGGAAAGCTTGCGAGTGTTGCCAGAGAGGGCAGCAGTCTCCAGATCTAAAGCACGCTCAGACCACCATATCTCGCGATCCTTGCGTAGGCTTTGCTTGAGCAGCCGGTTGGCAGAACGGCACCGCTCGTTGCAATCTGATTCCACCGGGATATCTTTGCGGCGGTCGAACAGCTCCAGAGAATGAGCAGAGATCCAAGCCTTTAAGGAGCGTCGAGCTAGGCCGCAGTTGGACCGACCGGAAATGGTCATCGTTTTCTGTATACAAGTCCAGTGTTGCTCCACATCTTGCGATGGATTGCAACTGTGTGTGTATGCCAGTGAAGACTGATTACTCACCTGGACAGAGAAATCAGTTAATCTGTTTACATCAATCTTGCGGTGCTTCGTGTTTCGGGACCTACAAAACACATGCAGATTTTTGTGCAGACAAGTGCATGATCTGAGTCAAAGAAGGTAGACCAAAAGGACTTACAGTCCAGTAAGTGGTCATGCCATCCGAAGCTAACTGCCATGTGATCAATTTGAGACCACGGTTGTGTTGGCGAAGGGGGACGCCACGTTGCGGAACGCTTCTTCGTACGCCTGAAGTTAGTGCTCAAAAGAAGCACAGTTGTCTTCGCACAGTATGAGAATCCACTCACCCTTATCAGTGCGCTCCTCATCAGGCGCGTGCTGACTACCAAGGTGGCGTTCGTATGGTAACAGGCAGCCGATCCGTACATAAAAATCCCCAGCAAAGAAAACAGTATCCGACGTTGCAGCGCTAGTCCTTAGCTGACGTAGCCCCGGATAGAAGCCGTACTTGACCGAGACGCCACTTCAGTTATGTGGAGCGTACACAGAGATCACAAATAAGTTGCGTCTCCTTTGCGGCGCTTGTTGATTCCACATGAACCCGCAAAACCGAACTGCACACAGTCGACTGTTAATCAGGAACCAGTCCAGCAGTGCCGCTTCGGTCTTGTCACTTACTGCTATACCTATCCCAGCCAAACCCGCTGAGGCTGCTTCTGGATCCCCAGAAAAACGCAGGTGATATCTGACGTCGTGGTCAGTGGGGGATGTCAATGTTAGAACAGTGCTGGGATCTTGCAATCGCGTTTCTAAAAGGCAGCAAACATCAATATCGAGGGACCCTAGGGTGCGCGCTAGACCGGCTTGCTGTCCAATCTGCATGAGTGTCCGAACGTTGAAGTACGCCAGACGGAACGAGGATCGGGGTCGAAGGAGAGCTATAGGTTGAACTCCATGGTTCGCTGCGCAACCGGAATCAAAACCAGATTGCTGAACACATGAATCGGGTAACAGAAAATAAGGATTGTTAGCAAACAAACAATTGGCGTGTGATGAAGTCGCGTGAATGTAAGAAGCAGAAACCGTAGCCGCTGAGCACGTCGTAAAACAGTCCATGGTTTTGTGAGAGGGCGTGAAACTACCCGGTTGCCCAAGTCGAAGTAGAGAGTTGACTTAGGGGACCCCACCTCGAGCCTTTGGCTAAACAGCATGCCGCAAGACAGCGGATCGAATTCAGTCAATCGCGCTCAATGGGAGTCACGGATTGAATGTTCAGTTCATAGTCTTCTGTTTGGTAGACCAATAAACATGGGCGCAATACTCCAGATGAAATGAACACAATTGCTGGCGTACGATGCGCCACCGAAATGCGGCACTGTCGCCGAACGCTTCGCAGGAACGGAGACGCCCGAGACACCCAGGTGGCACCACGAAGAGGTAGTTCCGTTAGCCAAGCGGATAGCGGAGCATTGCTTTGGCTCTCTACGACATTGTACTGTTAAGACCGTCCGAAGCTAAAAGATGGAACATCTTGTGAACAGTGCACACTGTGTTCAACCTAAGAACTCTTTCAAGACGCTTTATATTGTGCCAAAACGTGTCTCTAAGGGACCCAGTAAGCATTTGCTGACAACCGCGGAAGCTATCGCGACCAGAAGACTGAAGCCAGAGCTATGTAAACAGAAGGCGCCGATGCGAAATTTGACTTTGCTATCGCCATAGACCAGTCAGCCGACTTTAGGCTATTTGCTCTATGGTGATATTCAAATTTGGCCACTGAAAACGACACCCCACAAACCCGACGCGGCATAATTGTGCTAGGCTAGAAACAGCTTGTTATTCTAATATCAACTTGAATCATAATTGCACATGCCTGGAGAGGAAAGAAATTGTTTCGCAACCGTCATTGGTTACGTTTTGCTCGGTACGGGCCACGTGCGCGTAATGGCCTTCAACCGCCTTGACTTTTCGCCGTTAACATCGCATTCTGATTGTCTTTGCTATGTAACTAGTTTACTTTATTAATTGTGTTTAAAAAGTTTAAGAGTATGTGCAATTGGTGAATTCAGTAGATTCTGGTGAAATGATGTTTCTTCGTGCTATAATCACATTTGTAAATGGAAATGCCTGAATCAAATATCTCAATTTGTCCACATCAGTCCCAAGCTATTTTTTCCCTTTTTCCTTTGATTGTCGACTTTACATTGGACTTTTACATGTGACAAGACTTTCCTGCTGGGCTGGGTTGTTCGGCGTAAGTCCAATTGCCACGTTCTTCCGCAAGACCTATCAGATACGACAGTCGGGATATCATATTTTCAGACACTATTATGAACTATCCGGGAATTAATATCGGCGAAATCCAGCACGCTGAAGAATACTTGGACTGGCAATCGTCCGGATGATGAACTGAGATTGAGTGCTCTTGGTCAAGTACATTTACCTCATACTTCATTTTTGTAGAACAATGCAGTCTCAGACTTCTTCATTTTAGAGTCTTGAAAGAAATAGTTACTGTGTGCAAGGAAATGAAAGTCAAAACATTTGTATTAATTTTACGCGGGTACGATGTCAGTATGTGCTTGTTTTCATTCTCCATACTAACTGACCTGAACAACTCACTAATGCATTGCTTCAAACTCGCTGACATTTCTAGTAACTCCGACACTTTCTCCCACCCGTGTATTTTTGTTGGAGAGTAATACTCCCAGTGCTGCAGATGTGAAGAACTTGTCACATGGGACATCGTAACCTTTTCCAATGAACAGCGACCTAAGACTACATAGCACGTTCCTTGAAACACTTTCTCCACTTGGCTGAGATTCGGCGTTTCCAAAGTATGGAAACCCATTCACGAGATAATTGCTGTCCAATTAGATTAGAATGCAAAACTTGATGTCGAAATTATCAGGTTTGTTGGTCATGTACTCAAGAAAACGACAGCGGGTTTTGGTGATAAACATTTAAACGTCGACAATGAGGCTTTGCGATGGTACACAGCACTGTCGTGAATAAATGCATTCCGGAATTTAAATATGAAAGTAAGTTTGTCAGTCTGCAGTCCTTGACCTCTGGCAGTTCGCATAAAAAACTAAGGGAACTCATTATTACTTTGAATCCCTTCATGTCATTTGTTTCCCACAAAACAGGCGATCCGTATTACCGCATCACAGTATATTCAGTGGCATGATCTTCAAGACCATAAAGCCTCTGATGTAAAGTAGCTCAGTAAAAGCATGCAGTTCAGGAACACTTGAGTTTCACTGACGACTGGCACCAAAAACGCCCTTGGCCTCAGCTTCAGAACAGACTTGAAATGGTTTCAATATCTGGGATGTAAATATAATGTCGAAAGCACTCGAGAGCTCACCATATTTCACACATTTCTTAGCTTAGGCAATTGGTCCTCGTCTTGCCCTGAAAACATTCTGTGTTGCAATCCTACCAACAGTAGTTGCTTGGAACTCTACTGGAGGCCACGAGGTACCTTCTTTTGATATGTGAACTACAATGAAAGATGCAGAAGCAGCCGGTATACTTTCATTATTTTCGCAGTCACTACTGTCCTCATGTGGGGTGTCATTGTTAGAACTTTGACTATTAGAGATGCTGTGGTCTTCTGCGGACTCCTGCATGGTGAATTCATCGTCAACATCATATTCATTCTCGTCTCCAGACTCGCTATGATCAACAGCCTAAGTTCTCGTGAAACCTCAAAAGCTGTTCTCCACCGAGAGGAATACGGTCATTGTGACCACCTACAGGCTTTCTTGGTAGTAATAACACAACTATTTTTCTGGAAAACTATAATATATGTATACATACAGAGGTGAAACTTCCCAGTAATCAAGTACAGCTAGAAATACTAAAAGTTATGAAATTGCTAACAACTCTAAAAGCTATGTACATAAACAACGCAAAGCGGTCACAATGACCGTTCCGAATGTTATGTCTGTTTGAAAAATTTCAGCACACCGAGTGCGGCGACGTGCATTGTTTGAGCGACCAGCATCTGGATGGAAGAAGAGGAGGCCAGCTGATGATTTCGCCAAAAGAAATGAAGGACGTAGCTTCGAAGTTTGCGTCGGTTGGGGGCGCTTCAAATACCAGATTCGGGTCCGAAAAGCGATGGACACCTTTGGATGCATCTAATGACATGGGGAATTAGCGACGTGTGTGTTGTGTGTTTCTCTATGCCGACTTATCCAGCTTAGCTTCCCTTCCAACCACGGTCTTAGTACCGATGGATATTAACAAAAAAAGATAATAGCACTTGTTTCTATCGTTTACCATTTACTAGTTGATGTCTTGCATTTTCTTTCTTTGAATATCTTACTACATCGTACTGCGGCACAATAGCTGGGGTGTTTTGGACGCCTAGAAATTGAGTAGCTTGCTGATGATGGTGTGTTGTGTAAACAAAAGGCAAGTAAAGCGAGACATGCAATGGCGCAAGTGGTGAGATCCGATATTAACCGCTGGGCAGAAGCTCAGCACAACGTAAATTCCCCGACTGTTCCGGCTCCCCATAGGAGGTGCAGCGACAAACGAGACTTTTCTTTGTTCAACAAAAACGTTGTCGAAGGACTAAGGATAAACAAGCGCTGAACACGAACTCACCGTATCAAACTAGGTTGCGCGCAAATTTTCTGCAATATCTCCAAGGCCAACGCACGCTGCCAGATGATTTTATCGACATCCAAAAGTCGAATCAGGAGAGATAGATAAATTTCACACTCAGTAATCTACAAGCAAAGTAAGACGGTAATCACAGACAACGTAGTGAAAGTCGGGAGGGAAATCAATTGGCTACCAGGAGCACAGATAATGCTAACGAAACGACTGATAATGAGCAGGTTAAGATATGGCACCGGTTCCCGCCAAAAGAGTAGAAGCTGAAGGTTAGTTAGATGCATACAGGCCAAACAGAAACAAGTGTGGCGTATAAACCCACACATCATCATGGGATCAGTTAGTAAAGGTAAGGGTAACTAGCTCCAAACACTCGACTTAATAAGCTCAATACTCATGTAAGTTGATTACGTGAGTACAGGTTACTGAAAAACGTTTACGGTATCTGGGACCAAGATTTAAACAGCAACATCGCTGCTTAGTCGAATCATACGATAATTGTTGCTGAACGGACCGGTAGCACATTGACGAATCAGGCGGATAGTATGAACCTGATGATGGTAGTTTGAATTTCTCGTAAATAAGAGAAAACAGCTGGAACGACTCAACCCGAGTACGACTGAAACGTGCTGCACTAAGAGAGTGCAAAGGCCTCTAGAATTGGCAAATCAGTGACACTAAATGTACAAACAGAGCAGAAGAATAGTACTGAGATGGCTGAGACAGCTACATGAATTCCGTGCCAGTGCTTTGAATGACACAAAAACTACTGACAGTTTCGAAATGTTCGAACAAGTTCAACCATTTGAAGAGAAGGAAAAGAGCCAGGTATAAGGCTACGTAAAACATGGAGGCTACCATTGGCCCCCTTCGCCAAGTAGAGCAGAGAACACCGCACAAGTTGGTTAAATGTGATCCAATAATCGAACTGAACTTAGCACGCAAAAAAAGCGTGGCGATTTGTGACCGAAAAGAGTACAGGTAGGAAACGTAGACCGAAATATGGCCAGGTTAGACCCGAGACAATCATTGGCGTTAAAAAAGACGATGCGTGCGACCTAAGTTGGTGGTCAGAGGTCTCATGTCTCTGAGCTGTGCTGTGCTACTAACAAGGCACTCGGGATAACTGGCCGATAGATATACGAGGTAGATGGTTTAAATAAGTGGTTCAAATGTAAACGATAACTCAGTGCAGAGCAAAGCTGTCGCCAACCGGCAAAACAGCAGTTCCCATTTTGTTCTCTCACATACATAATATGAATAATATGTGTCAGCTGTATGCCGTAACGGCGTTTCGCTGGTGTGCGACCATCACCAGTCGCACGAGGGTTGAGTATACCGCAAGGGTGCCCACTCCTACGCAGATTCGAACCCGTGCCACAAAATAACGAGACAAGCTCGGTACCTCTAGGCTACGGGCCGTCAAAGTAGAGCGACGTGACGGAAGAAATGGCTATTACAGACAGCTGGTCTTCAACACATAGTGTCCATGCTTTCGACGCAAACAGCTACACCGACATAATGCTCTTGTTAGATAAGCTGGTTGGTTGCAAGCTCCATAGGTGGACAAGGCGTTGAAAGGTGATGAGGCCATGTTGTGTAAAGAAATGACCTTTGGTAAGTTGACCATCAGGTACACTTAGTTAGATGGTTGGCGGCATCCGGTTTCGGATTTGTCTCACTATGGCCTCCACAGGGAAAGTCACATGATGCCTGCGCCTACAAAGGGACCATAGGTAGCTTGCGCTACACCACCCATACTTCCATCCACACACCCGATATCCAATGTAAACCAGAAGGAATAAGACCGAGAGATATGTGGATGGGAGCCACGTTTCATCAACGGAGCATGCCCACACTCCTTCAACAGGCACAGCAGCATCACTGTTGTCTAGCTATGTAGGGAATCATGCGTATCAGACGTAAACAAGGCGATGGCTGGGTCGTAGCCCGCTTCACACTGAATGAAACTACTTTTTAAGCCAAGCACGGCTATGATGACCGTGCACCCCGTCACCCCAGCAACGACACATAGTCTCCTGGAACCAGCAATCCAGGTGGACGGTGTTAGACAGGTAAGCGCCTTGTCAATATGCACACCAAGCGCAACCACACCGGGGATATCTAGATAAGGATATCATAAAAGGCAGAATCGAGATGTTTATAACTTAGGTGGGTCCACGTGATCCGATAAAGCAAAGAATGAGTAAATCTTCCACCTTTCTCAGTTATTGCTTCAGTAAATGAAGCTTCTCCTGGAACCTAGCACTGAAAGCCTTCATACACTACTTGAACCACATTGGAAGGAAACGCAACCTTAGCAATGGCACTGGTCTACATTGTAAGTGCCCTATCCATGCAGTACGCTTATCGATCGATCTTTAGGCGCTTGATCAGAAGTAGGTTTAGGATGTTGCGGTCGAAACGAATGCGAGCGTCCAGTGAAATCGCCTACTGTGGTAAAACCAAAACACTTGATAGGAAGAAAAACCGTGCGATATCCAGAAGCCTGCGAACTGGGGGACAAAGGGCGATTTTAAGAGGCTCTGTGAATGAAACAAACTTGCTTTCGGTATGTTGGTTAGAGGACCGGTGGTAGATCAAGTTCGCATTTGTCTTGATATTATCAATTTACAATCGATGGAACTTGACGTTAGGCATTAGGGTAAATATTTGTGGTAGTCACGTGTGAAATTAGAATGAAGGGACGCAGCTTGTAATTTAGGAGGAACGAAGCACAGAGTACAAAGAACACGGAAAACGAAGTTAAGCGAGCATATGAAACTCCCAGGCTACTCAATTCGCAAAAGAAGAGTTCTAGTTGCGAGCAATATGCTTTAGCTCGTGGTTCATAAGACTGAGCCACGAAACGATGGAAAAAGGGTTCGCCACGAGAGCTCGGTTGAAAAACACAGCAGAGTTCAGCGAGACACCAATCACATGAAGCATTTTTGTGTAGTTGATAATGATGGCCGCAGTAACAGCTAGCCACACGTATGCTGCATACTGGTGAGTGACGGCACAGCATGTGAATATAACTGGGCAAGTAACAGTAACGTCCACTCGTTAACAACGATAGTACATGGTGCAGGTCCTATAAGTCTGTAGAAGTGATGAAACGACTAGTAACAGTTACTATTTTCACAGCGATTGACGAGGATCGAGCCACTTATTCTTGCATAGCATTTGATAAAGGGCGCCAAGCCTCTGAACACAGACGTGTTTAATGATATGAGTGTGTGTGTTAAGATAAGTGAGAAACGCCACCCCAAAAGATGTAGGATTACTTGGCATGCGGTCTGTTTTGTAACGAAGACAGATCCCTGGAAGAGGTAGGCTTCTATTATGACGGCACAGGACGTTAACAGGTGGAATGGTTTGCGTGCCTCAATGATCCATCGGGCTATGATGCGCTGTACTTTCCGCACCTCCAGAGTTACTCATACCAGGTTAGTCAGTGGTTGGAGGGCAGACCAATTCACCATCCTAGCCTTCAAGATTGAGGGTTGGAGTGAGGATGCTTCCTTACGCCAGAAAACGGACTCACTGGAGCCCAGTAAGAAACCCCGCTGAATTGGGGCCAGGTTTTTGAACCAAAAGCTTTGGCTGATAATACTAATCTTGCGGTCAAGGCTTGGACAATCTGACAGCCCTCTGCAAAAACAAAACAAATTATAATAAACTTCTCTCTTCCTGGTGCTCTAACCGTCGCAGAGGATAATCAATCGGCCTCCTCTCTGCTGCATCGAGCAGAGTAGATAGAGGCGAGAATACTACTGCTCAAGCATTTCCGTCTTATGCTTTTTCATCCTTGTCTCCCTGTTACAACTTCACTTTGATCTCCCCTGTTTCCAACCCGTCAACTCCCCGCTTTCCCCCATCTCGCTACAATAGTTGCTTGTCTTCTAGTATAGACTTAATCGTAATCTAAAACAGTTATTTCCCTTTAGTAACTTGTAAACCACAATTAGAAGACGAAGTTCGGCGTAGGCATGCATTTGTTATCGCCTTATCAGTGCCGATAACGATAATCGGTAATCGCATACAACAGTTGGTGGGTACAGACATAAATACTAATATACGAGAGAAAAAGTGGGTGTCTTTCTTCTACAACCAGGGCAGTCTGAGGCTGACCAATAATTGTTTTTGCACACAAAGCACTGGCTTAATCCGATTAATGGGAACAGCCTCGGCAAACCGGAGCCGGGAATTGTTATAGTGAAGCAGGATCCTAAACGCCTTGTGGACCTCAATTCCGTGACCCGATGTCAATAAGTGTCTGTCGAACAAAGATTCTGGCTGTCTGAGTACACATGTAGTCTGATTTGGGCTTGTTTGCTGAATAATCACACAATGAACCCACTTGGTACATGCTCTTTTATTCAAAACTCAGTGTTCTATTGGTTCTGGCTACGTAACTATCTCCGCAAATACCTACGAATTGAAATACGCAGTGGGAGTTGGCCCGAATAAGCTGAATTTTCTTTAGTGGAGGCAACGGTAGCTTATGAGTCCGGTCGACGGCTACAACTTCCGTAGCACAGGAAGAGCTCTGTGTGGCGGAAATCAGACGTCTTGAAGTCCTCAAAAAAGCAATGACACCCTTAAAGGGCAGCTCTAGGCATACCTTTTCCTTAGGTACAGTAGGTACAGCAACTTTCATTTCACGGATTCGACTGTGCTTCCGCATAAATACTCGAGGACAGCATTTAGCAATTAACGTGTTGGTAATTAGTCCTAGATTATTAGCTAGACAATTCTGTACACAATTCTTCCAATGATTCCGGTTGCAACAATACTGAACAAACAGATGCGCTGTAAACGCGGCAAAGTAGCGAGAATGAAACGGTGAGACAGCGCCAAAAGTGCGTCAGATTGAAAAATGCTGATCGGGCTTTAGCGATGCGAAGAGAAACTTCTTTGCTCTTAGTGCCGTCAGCAGAAACACAACTCCCAAGGTAGACGAAACTATCTACCTGTTCAAGTTGCGCACCTTCGAGAGTGAACATGGGAACAGTGAAAGCTCCGGAGGAATTCATTCTGAGTCCGCAGACTTGAACCGCTTCAAGCGTCAAATCTCGAGGCGCAGTGGTATGAGGACACTTTTAAATAC